TCATTGGGGAGATTTTTGCATCTTGTTACAATTGGTCCCCCACCTCTATTATAGATCTGACATAGAAGTCAAGGCCCACTCTAACCCCCTTTTTAGGTCTCGGAGAGCCCTAGGGACTACAGCGGTGGTGCTCTCCACCCTGTTAGGTGTTGGGGTTACCACTGCCACAGGTGCAGGAACATCCGCCTTAACCTTACAAGACCAAAACTACTGGGCCCTCTGACTTGCTGTAGACTTGGACCTTCGGGCCCTGGAAAATTCGGTTAAACACCTGGAGGAGCCCCTCTCCTCCCTAGCTGAAGTGGCTTTGCAAAACCGGAGAGGTCTAGACCTACTTGTCCTAGAGAAAGGTGGCCTCTGTGCTGCCCTGGGAAAACAATGTTGTTTTTATGTCAATCATTGGGGGTAATTAGAGAATCTTTAGCCACATTGTGTGAAAGACTCCAAGAAAGGGAAAATGACAGACTCCAACAACAAAACTGGTATGAGTCCTTATTCTCCTGGTCCCCCTGGTTGACTACCCTTATCATGGCCCTAGCAGGACCCCTACTCCTCCTAATGATGGCCCTCACCTGTGGTCCATGTCTCCTCAATGCCCTCCTTAGATTTATAAGGACCCGCCTACAGACTATCCAACTAATGGTCCTCCGCACCCAATCAGGTTGCTCAGGAGGACCCCTTGTCTCAAATGACTGCTTGCTAACTGCTACCTATTTAGTTTCTGTACAGATGCTTGCTTGCTATGGCTTAAAGATTTAACCCAAGTTACAACTCAAGAGGGAAATGAAGGAACCAGGCCAACTCCATTTTGTACAAGCCATGTCAGCTCCAATAAATTTGTTTCCCAGAAACTTTAAGTTTCTGTTTCCTGGAACCATAAGTTACCATTTACTGGAAACTGGTTGTTAAGATTAGATCAGTCCCCAAACCCAGGTCCACCAATCAGGGAGGAACAGCACATCTGGCCGGGGAGATAATGGTCAGAGTCTCTGAAACACATTAAACCAGAGAAATTTGGCCAATGAAATATAGACCCGTGGTCTGACCATGAAAACTAACCAATGAGAATAAAGGTCATGGTTTTTGTGCTTGTTAACTGCAAAATGGGGCTCCACTCTACAATCAGCATGAGAGTCGCAGCCCCAGCTAGCTGGAATAACTAATTTTTTCTTAAATAAAACTTTTTAAAATTTGTTACTGTCTGTCTCTAATTATTCCCAACTCCTGGACCCAACAGTAGGTAAGTGCACCCATGTTGTGCAATGCCTGCAGAGGTCAAAAGAGGCTGTTGGATCCCCTGGAACTGGAGTTATGGATGGTTGTTAGCTGCCATGTGGGTGCTGGGATTTGAACCCAGGTCTTCTGCAAGAACAACCAGCGTTCTTAATCGCTGAGCCATCTCTCCAGCCCCAATAAAGCATAATAAATTGGGGGCTGAGAGCAGGGGTTGGCATCCTGTGGCCCACAGGATGGCCACCATCTTTTAGTATGGCCTGTAAAGTAAGAATGATTTTGACATTTTAATTCTTATTTTTAAAAATATTTTATTTATTATTACCTGCAAGTAAGTGCACCTATGTGTGCAATACCTGTGGAGGTCAGAAGAGGGCATTGTATTCCCCTGGAACTGGACTTAAGAGCAGTTGTTAGCCACCATGTGGGTGTTGGGAATCGGACCTATGTCCTCTGCAAGAGCACTTAGTGCTCTTAATCCCTGAGCCATCTCTCCAGCCCCTGACATTTTAATTCTTTTAATCAAAAGAAAAAGACTGGGAATATAACTCAGTGGTAGAGTCCTTGCCTAGCATTCATGAGTCCCTGAGCTCAATTTCCAGCACTACAGAGAATAAAATAAATATAAACAAAAAGAATGTTTAATGATATATGGTAAACATTAATTCAAGTTTCAGTGTCCGTTTATTGGTGCAAAACCACACCCATTTACTTGTACAGTGTCTAGGGCTCCAACAGCAGTTGAAGAGTGGTAAGAGAAACCATCTGTTCTGAAAAGCCCCAACTATTTACTATCTGGCTCTTTACAGAAGTTTGCCTATCCCTAGGCTAGAAGATTCAAAGTGCCAGGAAAAGTTGCTATCTGTCTTGTAGGATAAATAAACCCAGAACACATAGCCTCAAAGGGTACATACACATGTGATAACAGAAGTTCACATTTAAGGTTTTAAAATGAAGTGGCTTGTTTTAAGCCAACTAGGAAAACCTTGCTTATAAAATGTGTGTAGTAAAAGGGCTAAGACATGGTTCTGTGGTTAAGAGCGTGTAGTGCTTTTGCAGAGGACCCAAGTTCATTCCCAGCACCCACGTTGAGTGGTTTACAACTGTCTGTAACTCCAGGTCCAATGCCTTCTTCTGACCTTCACAGATACTTGCACTCACATGCACATACCCATGCATACAGATGCACACGTATACATGTAATTTAAAAAACAAACAACAACAAAACAAAGGGGACTGGAAAGATGGCTCCAAAGCTAAGAGCACTGGCTTCTCTTAGAGGACCCAGGTTTGATTTCCAGTACTCACATGGCATAACACTGTCCATGATTCCAGTTCCAAGGGATCTTATGCCCTCTTCTGGTCTCTGCAGGCATTGCAGGCACACAGTGCACTTACATATATGCAGGCAAAATACTCATAAAAATAAATTTTAAAAATTAAACCAAAAAAAACCCTGTAAAGTAATATATAAGTAAGCCAAATACAATTAAATCCTTTGAAAATGTTCCAGTTTGCTTAATGATTGAAGTAGAGTAGAGAGGAGAAGGGACTATATAAAGCCTCTAATTGACACACAATAAATAGTAGTGGATTCTGGCAAGGCAAAGGGAAATTCATCATGGCTCAGCACTTAAGAATACTTGTTGCATAATCATAAAGACAAGTGTTTGGATCCCATCACCCATGTAACAAGCCAGGAATCCCTTACATATCTGTAACCTCAGCTCTTAGAGGGGCAGAGAGAGGAGGATCATTGGGACTTGGTGGTTTCCAGCCTAGCTGAGAAAACATGAGCCCCAAGTTCAGGAAGAGACTCTGCCTCAAACCTCAAAGGCATTAGCGAGAGAGAGAGAGAGAGAGAGAGAGAGAGAGAGAGAGAGAGAGAGAGAAGAGGGAACATCTGACATGCTTCTGGCCTCTGCAAGTGCAGAGGCATGCACACTCCACCACATGTGCTTACACTGACACATGCGCATACAAATAAACAAATCTAAAAAACTAGTTTTTAAGGCTCAGTTTATGGTCCTGTGGCCAAGAGAATGGAGTAATGTGATTAGAATCTCACAGGTAGATGGAGAAGGGACGAAGGGGTGAGAAGGAGTCAGGGATGTCAGGCAGGTGAAGGGGGCTCAGCAGGAGCTTTCAAGACACAGGGGCTGTGAGCCCAACTTCAATGGTAGAAAGATGAGTGTCTGTGTCATCTGGTTAGGCTTGTTTTAGAGGCAGTTCCCTTATGTGTTAGTTTAAGGAAGACACAGTTAATGCCATTTGCCATAAAACTATTCATTAGAAGAGTGGCAGCTCACATCTGTAATTCTAACACTAGAGAGGCTGACACACAGAAGGATTACCATGGGTTTGAGACCAACTTGGGCTACAAAGTAAGTTCCAAGCAAGCCTGGACCATGGAGTGAGACCCTGTCTCAAACAACAACAAATTGTCTACTGGTTAGGTTCATTGAATTAAACATTTACCCTTAGAATATTTTAATTATGTTTTATTATCATGTACTGATAATACATAATAATGGGTTCATTATGACCCTTTCATGCATGTATACTGTATCTCCATGATGTTCAAGCCATCACTCCTTTCCTCTCTCATGCCTGCTGATCTCCTTCTTCCTAACAAGCTCTCCTCCTACTTCCATGTCTTGTTTATTGTGTCTCTGTGAGCCAGTGAGGTTGCTTACAGGAATATGAGTGAGGGTTTGTTTATAGGAGCATGGGCTGCTTACCAGTGGTTACATCACTGAAGAAAATGTCTTTCCTCCTACCCCACCCTATCAATTCTTTAATGTGTAACCTTCAGAATATTTTTTAAGTTAAAGAATACCTTTTGGGCGAGCTCTAGGTTCAGTAAGAGACCTTGATAAAAGGGGTGGGGGGGTCAGAGAGTGATAGAAGATACCGTTGAACTTCACACATACATGGACAGGTAAATGTACCCTACACACACACACACACACACACACACACAAGAATATCTTTTCGAGAGTGAGGAGATGGCTCTGTAAAACATTTGCTGCACAAGTATGAGGACCCAAGTTCAGACATGGCATTGCACATCTGTAATCCTGATGCAAGAGATGCAGAGACAGGAAGATCCCTGGAGCTCCCTAGTCAGCCAGCCTAGCAGAATCAGGAGCTTCAGGTTCAGTGAGAGACACTGTCTCAAAACAACAACAAAAAAAACCAAAACAAAGACAGGCATGGGGGTGCACGCCTTTCATCCCAGTACTTGGGAGGCAGAGGCAGGTAGATCTTTGTGAGTTTGAGTCCAGCCTCATCTACATAGTGAATTCCAGGACAACTGGGGCTATAGGGAGACCCTGTCTCAAAAAGATAAAAAAAACAAAAACAAAAATAAAAAACCAAGATTAAGAACAGTTGAGGAAGACACCTGACATGGACTTTAAGAAGGTCTCTACATGCACACACATACATGCACACCACCCCACAAACATATATACATACAGTGTGCACACAACACACGCATGTGAAAATTAAAAATAAGGGCTGGAGAGATGGCTCAGTGGTTAAGAACTGGTTATTCTTGCAGAAGACCCTGGTTTGAATCCCAGCACCCACATGGCAGCTAACAACTGTCTGTAACTCCAGTCCCAGGGAATTCAACAGCCTCTCTGACCTCCACGGGCATTGCATGACATGGGCGCACTCACCTACATGCAGGCAATACATGCATACACATAAAATAAAAATAATAAATAAAATTTAAAAAAAATAAGAAAAAAGAATAACTCATGCTCACTTCAGCAGCACATGTACTAAAACTGGAATGACGCAGAAAGAATTAACATGACCCCTGCACAAGGCGGTTACACAAATTCATGAAGCATTCCATACTTTTTCTTCTTGCAGTAGATGACAATTAACAGAGACCCGTAACTGGCCAATGTGCAGGAAATAAGAGACTGCAGAGTGCTCAGCCCTACATGGGACACCTATATCACAGCCTCTCCTCCCAAGGTTCAGGGATCATTGCAGAAGAGGGGTCAGAAAGACTATAAGATCAGATGCGGTGGATGAATACATGGAAACTCTGTTGTCTGGATACCAAAGGGCAATTACACACATGAACCCACAGCACTTGTGGCAGCATGCACAAGACCTGTACAAGCCCATACCAAACCTAAACCCAGCATGGATAGGGGCAGGAAGCCCCAGCCCTAACTGAAGATCTTTTGGTAACTGGTAGCTGCTGGGAGAGAGAGAGTCAGCTTTCTTTAAGGGTGTAACATCTGGTAGGCTGACCAAACTCCAAGGGAGGGACCCACACCCAATATTATTTGGAGAACACAAATTGACTTGATAGGCCTTTAAGAAAATAATAAGCTGGGTATTGTGGCACATGCCTTTAATCCCAACACACAGGAGGCAGAGACAGGCAGATCTCTGTGAATTCAAGGCCAGCCTGGTCTACATAGGGAGTTCCAGGCCAGCTGGGGCTACAGGAAGACCCTGTCTCAAAAAGACAAAAAAAATATTAATAGAAAACATAAAGTTGGAGGTAGTAGGATGGGTTGGAGGTGGAGGGGGTTCTGAATGTGTACCAAAATACATTGTATGAAATTCTCAAAGAATCAATACAAATATTTTTTAATATTTTATTTGTTTTTTTATTTTATGTGTATGAGTGTTATGCCTGCATGTATGTAAGTACACCCATGTTGTGCCTGCAGAAGACAGAAGAGGCTGTCAGATCCCCTGGAACTGGAGTTATGGACAGTTGTTAGCTGCCATTGTGGGTGCTGGGAATCGAATCCAGGTCTTCTGCAAGAACAGTCAGTGAGTGTTGGGAACCGAACCTGGGTCCTCTGCAAGAGCAGCCAGTGCTCTTAACTGCTGAGCCATCTCTCCAGTCCCATTTCTTTTAATTCCTATGTGTTTTCTTTGTCTCTGTATTGGCGGAAATCTCTAGTACAAGGCTCAATAGAAGCTGTGGCAGTGCTCATACAGGAACCCTTTAATTCATCTCAAAAGGGAATTCTTTTAAAAAATGTTTTTTGGGTCTGGAGGACCTGGATTCAGTTCCCAGTACCCACATGGCAGCTAACAACTGTCCATAACTCCAGTCCCAAGGGATCCCACAGTCTCTTCTGACTTCTGCAAGCATTGCACAACATGGGTGCACTTATCTACATGCCGGCAATACACGCATACACACAAAATAAAAATAATAAATAAATAATATTTTTTTAAAAAAAGATTAAAGAAAAAAAGTTATGCATTTTGATTGTATGGCATATAATATTTAAACAATTGTGTTATTGTCAATAATAAACATTCAGTATGTCACTAGACGAGGATCAGCACACACAATTTCATGTTATTTCCATACCCGTAGCACACAACAACGAAAAGAAAACAAAATGCTTAAAGTGGTACCTTTCAGTTAATTTTGTTTTGGGATTTTTTTTTGTTTTTTTTGTCATTTTAAGATGAGGTCTTCTTGTGGCCCCAGCAGGCCTGGAACTTACTATATAGACCAGACTGCCCCCGATCTCACAGAGATCTGCCTGCACCATCACTCCCGGCCCTCAATTTCCGTCAATAAACATTAGATTTGTACAGTTTCCTCAAATTAGATATATATTAATGAAATCCTAATGAAAATCCCAGGAGACTTTGTGCGTTGAGGTGGAGCTCAGGTTGGAACCCAGGGCCTTTACTGCTGCCAGGAATGTTAGCTGCTAATGGTCACTGCTGCCACCTGCTGAGCTGACTTGCCCCCCAAATGCTTGAGAACTTACCTCCTTAATGGAGGCAGCCCTCAGCTGGTGGCTGGTGTGTGTGGTACCAGTGAACAATGAACAGTACACTATTGCTCCATTTGTCAAGAAGTAGCTAACTTTTGTCTAGACACTATAAGATGTCCTAAAAGAACAGGCTGAGAGCGGGCATGCTTGGCTCTGTCTCCTGCTCTGTCCCATTAACCCCACTCCCCTTCAGACAGCACGTGAGAATACTGTCAATCACTTGCATAAGAATCCCTGTTTCTGAGGAACTGAGCTAAGTCACAGGGTCCATAAATGATCCTCCTGTCCTAGAGTCAGAGAGCCCAGACACACTGAAACAAAAATCATGTTGGTGGCGATATGACCCTGAAGTCAGGGTTTCTTTGCTGAGTTGTGGTTGTGCGCCTATCTCATTGATTCCATAAAAGCCTTAGGAGCCTTCCAACAATACCTGCTTTTTAAATCTGAGTCGGTCAAAGTCTGTATCTCTTTCCTGAAATCAGTATAACCATAACTAATGTGATGGGTCATGGAGGCCTAGTTTAACAAGACTTGGGAACTACAACCCAGTGTATCGGTTGGTATCCTGAGGCCCGTGGCCTCAGTACTTAGAATGTTGCTGGGAACACTCCCTATCCTCTAATCCTCTAGGAACTTGTGGGTGCTGGGTTACTAATTTGATACCCTGAGGCCTTCTTGATTCCCTGGAGGCAGGGAGAGCAACATTCCTTCCTCTAGCTTTCATCCTCTCCCATCTTTCTCTGGTTCCAGGTATGTCCTGAATGCTTCTAGCATCTCTGTGAGCTTTCCTGCCATTAAAATGTGCTTTTCTTCACCTTCTAGTCTCTCTACCTGTGTGCCTGACCCATTTGTATATGTGTCAGGAAAATGGGAGGGGGAATGGTGGGTGAGCCAGAGGAGGGGTGCTCAAATGTCAGATCACCGAATCACAAATTATAAAGAAAGGTTGACACAACACAAACCTGATTAGTTCCATTCAGAACCATTTACTGATTCATCAGAAAATTGATCCTTCTGATCCAGGCTGTCCCCTTCCAGTAGTCAAAGGTGGCTTTGGTGGAGGGCTAATTATGCTTCTAGTGCAATTTTATGTAGTTTAGCCCAAGTAGAGTTTCTACCAGAGTCAACATGGATGGAGCAGGACACCACATTAGACACTAATGTACAGTTTGCTTTCAGAGGCTCGTGGATTCCAGGGAGAGTTGGCAGGTCTCGCTGAATGGTTTCTGATAAATGCCATAAACCGGTAGTGGAATGGGTTGGAACACCCACAGGGGAGGTGCATGTGATCCACACAGCATTTGTTTAAAGTATGACTCTGGTCACATAAGGCTCAATTCTCCATGTCACCCACATTATCTATTGTCTGTCACAACTGACATCCCCCACCTGTTTTTTTTCCTGCGCATACTTGGCTCTCTGACCCCAAGCCCAAATGTATTAAAGAACAGACTATCAGATACCTAAGAAAGGAGGGAGGGGCCCTCTTCTACGGGTTATCATCAGTAGCTGACTAGAGCCTCCCCTTAGTTTGGAGAGGAAGAAGAAGTGGATCCCGTAGCTGGATTCTAGACTCTCAGGCCTGGACTCTGTTCTGGTTCAACTGCCTCAGCAGATGGATGACTGGCAGGTGGAATAGTATTCTCAAGACAAGAGAGAAGGAAAGAGGCATATATATAGACCTAGAGTCACAATAAGGAAACAATTTTCTCCTCCAGCCACCATTAAATCCCCTTCATCTATCCCACATGGTTCCTCCACTGAACAGTCAGGATTCAGTAAGTGTTTGTGATGTGTCAGACATTGTTCTAAGGCTGGCATACAATTGATCCTATTTTGTGACACTTTAATTATGTCCTTCATCCATCCATCCTCCCTCATCCCTTATCCATACTCTTAACACATTCTAAACACACTATCAAATGCCCCTTTGAGTACACCTTTGCTTGAATGAGATGAGATGGAGAAAGGTGTTTTCTTTTTTTTTTAATTTAATTTATTTATTTATTTTTATGTGTACACATGTATTTCCTGCATATAGGTAACTGCACCCGTGTTGTGCAATGCCTGCAGAGGTCAGAAGAGGCTGTCGGATCCCCTGGGACTGGAGTTACGGATAGTTGTTAGCTACTGTGTGGATACTGAGATTCGAACCCAGGTCTTCTGCAAGAACAACCAGTATTCTTAACCGCTGAGCCATCTCTCCAGCCCCAAAAGGTGTTTTCTAATCACTCATGTAATTCTCTAATGACAGATCAAAAAAAGGTCAAGAAACAGGATGTAGGTCAGTTGGTAGAGTGTTTGCCTAGCACACAGGAAGCCCGGGGTTTGATCCCCAATACTGCATAAACCAGGCATGGTGGTGCAGACCTGTAATGTCAGCACTTGGGAAATGGAAACAGGAGGACCACAAGTTCAAGGATATCCTTGGCTATATAGGAAGTTTGAGGCCAACCAGGGCTACACAAGGTCTTTGGAAAAAAAGAAGAAAAAGAAAAAGAAAGAAAGAAGGAAAGAAAGGAGGGAGGGAGAGAGAGAGAGAGAGAGAGGAGAGAGAGAGAGAGAGAGAGAAACGGATTGAAATCAAGACTCAGATGGTTGAGTAACTTGGTCTTTGCCTCATAACCTGCTCACTGTCTGATCCTTTAAGGAATGTTAAGCTCCATCCAGCCAGGGACACTGTCTCTGGTTCACTGCCATAACCTCAGCAGCACCTTAAACAGCGCCTGACACATTAGGGCTCTTGATGCATTTTTGTTGACTGGGTGAATGACCAGCTAAGCAGGTAGGGGCAAAGTTGGCCCTGGGTACCACAAGTTCTAAATTCCTCTTCAAGCTTTGTCCCAGATGGAAAAAATGTCAAGAGTTTTCTTTTCTTTTTAAAAAAGATTTAAATTATGTGTACTTGTGTGCATGTGTGTGCGTATGTGCATGTGAATGCAGGTGCCCACAGAGACCAGAAGAGATGGTCAGATCCCTGGAGCTGGAGTTTCAGGCAGTTGTGAACATGACATGACTCCTGGGAACTGAATTCAGGTCCTCTGGAAGAATAGTGTGCATTTTTTTTTAATTTTATTTATTTATTTTATGT